AACAGTATAATGTGTTTTCTTCCTCAAGTATGTTGTAGATATGTTGTCACACAAGTGGTCTCCACAAAAGAAAGCCTGAGCAAACTTGTGGAAAATTAACTAGGGTACTTAATGTTTGTCATCTGTATAAAATGAGCATTATTAATCGTTGTGTGCCTACTTATTGATGTATCAATATAATTTGCTTCCTTCCTCAAGTATGTTGTAGATATGTTGTCACACAAGTGGTCTCCACAACAGAAAGCCTGAGCAAACTTGTGGAAAATTAACTAGGGTACTTAATGTTTGTCATCTGTACAAAATTAGCATTATTAATCGTTTGTCTACTTTTCATGGCCTCAATACAGATTTCCAGAGAGCTACTGCCTTATTAGGACTGGTAGGCAGCTCTCGGGATCGAGAAGACACCAATGGCATGCTTGTATATTAAATGTTACAATTTAAGTTGTAATCATATCTATATTTAAAGAAATTGATTTGCTCGAAAATATCCAGGAGTTAATATTTCGTAAATTTGCAATAATAATAATTAACAAATGTTTGAATTTTGATCTCTGTGCAGTTCCAATTAGTATCGCACCTTGAGAGGATTTTATCACGCTACAGCGAGTGGATTGGACGGCAATTAATAAATATAAACTTCCAAACAAGATAAAACTAATGGTTGATGTGATTGGATAGAAAACATCCTTGTTTATCTAGTCATTCTAAAGTAAATAACACTGGGTAAGCTGTAATGTATGATTTCTCAAAAAGTGGGTAGTAGAAGTTTCCATAGTGGAGAACAAAGGATTCTAATGCAAAGTTTAAAGAATGTAGAAACAAGCCATAACTATGGGTCTTTTATAGTTTCTTTTGACGATGTTTTCGTTCGTAATGATTTTTTTGTTTTATATCTGTTTTAAAAGTACAGGAATATTCTTATATGAACAGGTAAGGATGTTTAGGGTTAGTGAGTACGGTACGCTATGAGTTCTGCAACAGTAACTATTCAGATGGCTGAAAAGCTTTTTTATTTGTGTGTATTAATTAAAACAGTTATTATTTCTCAAATAATGAACCTGGCATGTTTGGAGGTTAAGGCTCGACTCGCAGTTTGGGGTCAAGAGTTCCAAACCTCTTCACCGAACATACTTGTCCTTATGGTTGTTGACTGGCCAACCGGGTGTAAAAATTCTTGGCTTGCAAAAGTACCGGCTGACCCCAACTTAACTGGGATTAAAGTCGTAAAGGGGGCAGGGATTATTTCTCAAACCATACACACAAGTACAATATTCCCTTAGTTAGTGAAAATACTATATTTATTAGATAGAAATTGAGATTTACCGAAAATATAGTTGGAAAAATATATCCAACGTCAATGTAGGCTTAGTATACTAGTGCAATATGTATTTACATCTGTCAACGCTTTAATGTTCATCGCGGCTACATTAATACTTTAGACTTAATAGAATTTAAAGTTAAACCCAGTTTTGTTTCTTTCTTTCATGTTTTTCAATGGTTTCTTTGTATGTAAGAGCTTATATGAACAGACGAAAAAAATGAGTAAGCTGTTATTAGAATAATACAGACATAAAAATTATAGTTTTATTGAAAAACTAGTTCTATTAGGTTATGTTTACATGATTTTAGGCACCCATAAAAATGAAAAAAGCAGAAACCCTAAGACAAAAGGAAGCATTTCAAAACAAAATTTCAGAAAGTTCACAACCTAAAATACGATAGAAATACTAAATAAAATTGTTTTTTTTCAAGCACAAACTACATGTTATCTACAAAGAGTAGACTAGATTTCATGCACTTAGGTTAAGTATTTTAAGTGTGAACAAAACAAACATGGATGACACAATGTCATCCACGAGGCCCTGAGAGGATAAAAGAATTATTAGTGACCAAACAATAAGAAACAAAGTTTCAAACTCTAAATTAATGTCTTATACTAAACAGCTCGTTTGGATTTTTGTTCACACCATCAAAATTGATAGTGGCGCCATCTGTACTTTTTAAATTCAACCAAAGTTATATGCTTCTCCTGTATACCGCTACGATTCGTATCCGGAAAACAAGAGATGAACAATATGTTCAATAAAACGTCATTGAGTATGTCTGTTTCGGTATATTGCTCAGTAATGATATGAATAAACACGAGTATTAACCTTTCCATTACGGGCTGGGTGGATTCCACCCATCCCGTAACCACGAAAGTATCCGTGAGAGTAATAAGGCTATGATTTTTGTATGCATATCTTTACAACATTTTACAGGTTATTGGTAAACATTGCAACGCTTTTGTACATAAAATATCAAGTTTTTAAATTAAAAGATAAGATTTTTTAATTATACCTTTTCTCATAAACGTTTTTCTTTCAGAATGTTGACTATCCAACATGCAAAACAATTTTGATTTTAAGATTAAAAATACTTTTATGCATTAGAACATTTTCAAATTTCACATGCGAAATCTTTATATCCTCCAGATAATTATCAAAAATTTTGTTGAAAGCTTTTTATTTTATCTGTTATTTTCACGACTGTATGGCTGGTTCGATTTAGCTAACTTCATAACCTCAATTAAAAAAAATAGGAAATAAATATAAATTATGCTTTTTTTCGTTCTAAAATGGTTACATTTTATAACACGAAAACCCAAATGTTCAGTTTAAATAGCTTAAATTCCATAACATTATACATTTATATATATAAATATATATATTATTTTTATTATATTGAGCTTTCAGCCATGCTTGGCTAACATTATTAAGTTGCAATGACGCTGCGCACTGCACTGATGTTACTGATGTATATATACATTATTACTAGTTAAAATAAGTTCTTAAATTTCAGTTATTTTTCCTAAAACGTAGAACAGTAAATAAAGAATTATACAAAATAATTATCTCTTCTAGTTACGAACTTTGAACTCATTGGCTGCTTGTTGTAGGTTGCTAAAATTCGTAAGTAGAGGATGTGAAAAGAAATAATTTTTTTAAAGTTTTATATATACATTTTAAAATAACCAAAAATCATAAATTGCTATATCAATACCATAGAATTCCACTATAATTTATCAAACTTAGTAACTAAGCTTTATTTGGGTCTAAAAAATACGAAATTTCCAGTCCAAGCTTTAAAAGAATGAGTTTGGCGCTGACAAAGCCACTAGTTTTTGATTGGTTATTCACACAAAATTGAAAAGAGGTGGGCGGGGATACTGTGTTTGTTCAGTACATGTAGCGACATTTCAGCAAATAGAAAATATAGGAGGTTCTTATTTTATATTATAGCTTGTAAATATTGGTAATCTAAGTTTCTAATTCGTAAGAAACTATTAACTTTGTATTTGGACATCACACACATCTAATTTGAACCAATGCTGCATTTAACATACCACAGTACACACAAAAATGGAGTTTTAGGCTTTCTTTTTTATGTTTACGTTTAAATTAAGAAATTAACTAATAGATCATACTAAAAGCTAAATTATAATCTACAATGTGATACCAAACTTATTGATTTACATTCATAAAATAGTAGTTCAATAAAAATTATGAATGTGAGTCTACAAACGTGATGACCTGGCCTTTGACCCGTGATCATAGGAAGACCCGTAGAGATGAGATTAATGGACATACAGATCTTATTGTGCTTCCGTAGGTCATGTTTGTTGTTAGATGATATACTGACCTCATACTGGACCCATATGTATGAGTGTTTGCAAACGCAATCGGGCCACATGTATTCCAGAGTCATACTAACAGCATTATGATGCAATACCCTGATAAAGAAGTCATAACTTAGTTAAAAAAAAGTCTTGATCTAAATTCCATAAAATGTTACTGAGCCCTCCTCGGACACCACCATATGCATCGACACCTTGACCAATCACATAGCGTGGAAAAGCTTGGAATTACACTGATAGAAGTATGTAAAAAAAAAGGACCCCATATTGCGTCGTAAGCCATCTGATTAGAAATATGTCTCGAAGAGAGAGACAGTACTATTACCAAAATGGGGAAGGTATTTCATTATCGAGAGTCTGTGCTTACGAAATGTAATCCTTTCAGATAAGGTGACTTACTCAAACCCTAGCTTTGTCCGTTTCGAATGTGATGTTAGTCCTGTTCTAAGATATTGAATAGCGATATTTTGTCTGTTGAGGTGATTTTTGAGAAGTTATTCACCTATAACATTACTAGAAACTGATCATCTCAGTTCATCACTTGTTGTGGATGAGTGAATATATTTTAAATAAACTATTTTTGGCAAAACGAAATAACAAAACTTACCCTTGACAAAATTATCAAACTACCACCGACTGAAACAAAAACACAAAATAATTTCAGTAAAAGGCGTTGGTTCAGTTGTTTAAAACCTCGTTCCCTAATATTGTGTAAGTTACCCAATTTCAATATAAAAAAAAGGTTACATTTTCACCAACAACATTCTAAAAAAATTCTACATGAGTGACAAAGTAGGAATAAAATCGGATGAAATAAATATAATTAAATGCAATATTACTAAACTGTAATTCAATACGTACTAGTCTCGCCCTTGAAGCTGTTATTAACTACGACTTTTATCACTTAGGCCGACGGTTCGATTATACGTAGAATAATTTTTTTATAGTCTCCACTGGTATCTGCAGCTATATCATCCACTAAGTGTCGCTGGTACTTTTCTCTGTATTGTTCTTTAATGTCTTGGAGGTCAACCTATGCAAATTAAGCCAATAGGTTAGTAATGTAAAGCTTCAATGTTAAAATCTGTAGAGAGGATACAAGCGTGAGGATGAATGGGACACGAGAGCTCACGGTGGCTTAATCATGCTTTAATGAGTTGTGAATTGGATGTAAATCATCTAAATACAAGATTAATAAAAAAATCTATAGCGATGATAAAAGTATGACGCTTAACACTAAATGAGATCCAGTCACCATATCTGATGTAAAGAAATGCTTGACACAGCCTTATTATAGACCTAGATCTTACATCCATACGACGGTTTAATCTTCTAGTTTTAGTAAATAAAGTAGCGTTTGCTGGATTTGTTGTTAAGTAAAAGCTACACAATGGAATATCTATGCTCTGCACACGGCTGGTATCAAAACCCGATTTTTAGCCTTATAACACCTCAGACTCATCGCGGAATTACCGGTAGGTGTTTGTCGAGAACATTAAACGATTAAGTTGCGCGTTTTTTATAATGGTTAACGAACAACAATTACTAAAAACATCTATGGTGTTTTGAATCCGTTTTATTTCACCATATGGTAACCTAAGTTAATTTAGGCATGTAATAATGTTATATATTTCGTCGAATTTATTATTCGATATTATATAGCGGACCAACTGTTTAATAATTGTATATATATGTTAAAGTTAGTTAGTTAGTTTTGAATTTCGCGCAAAGCCTACACGAGGGCTGTCTGCGCTAGCCGTCCCTAATTTAGCAATGTAAGACTAGAGAGAAGGCAGCTAGTCATCACCACCCACCGCCAACTCTTGGCCTACTCAGCCCACACGGCTGAAAGGGCGAGCATGTTTGGTGGGACGGGGATTCGAACCCGCGATCCGCAGATTGCAAGTCGAGTGCCCTAACCACCTGGCCATGCCGGGCCTTATGTTAAAAATATATATACAATTGCTGAATATCTTCTAATGTTAAACATAAAATATTGTTCCTTAAGCATCCATAATAATATTCATTTTGTAATATCTATCTTTATATTCTTCGCTCTTTTTTTGTACTTAAATTCGACTCAAACGTGTTCTGAGTTGAAATACAAATGCTATTTTATTAGAGGAATGCCCGTTTTACAATTCTTTCTCTTATATCTTATATATATATATGTACACTGAGTGGTCACAAGTAAATAGACATCTAATGTTTCGTCTATTTAACTGTATTTA